CAGCATACATTTGACACCACTAGCAGATTGGCTTCGTATGTAAATGCAGCATCCGTACGCTCTTATTGAAGCGTCGCAGAAGCCATGGATTTGGCATATAGCAGTCCACTCTAGATTTACATACCGAGAAATGCTAATTGACGAGAGCTGCAGTAGGTTGGCTTTGAAATTCTGCCAGCTATTGCTGAGGCGCAATGGAATCGACTCATCCCAATCTAGTTTTTGCAAAGCTCTTGCAATAAAATTTTTGCTTTGGTATCTAGTGGGGCTAATAATCCAAGAGGATCGAAAAGGCGAGCGGAGACTGACAATATGTTCCGTTTAGTGGCTCGCAGATCATTAAAGTTGGCATCCAAAACAAACCGAAACAAATCCYCTTTCGGCAACCTATGGATTCCTAGTGTTTTAGTAGAATTTTTGTCATTGAAACTTAACGACTTTTCAGTGCAATCACTGTCGAAAAATTTAGGGTGGTTCGAAAACCACTTCGTTAACGTGAATCCTGCCGAGTTTAATATTTTAATTACTTCACTTCTTATAAGATCTAGAGACTCAAAATTTTCAGRTSCTGTCAATAASTCATCGACATAAAAGTCTCTTTTAATGGCCAATGAACCGAGTGGGTATTTAGTGGTATTAGCATAGCTGAGCATTTGTAAACACCGTGTTGCGAGAAATGGTGCAGGCGCAGTGCCGTAAGTGACGGTGTTAAGTCGAAAAATTTTAATATGCTCTGAGGGATGCTCTCTCCACACAATAAGCTGACAATTCTGTCTTCTTCGTGCATCATTATTTGGCGGTACATTTTAGTAATGTCTGCCGTTAAAGCGTACTTGTGTAAACGAAAACGAAGAAGAGTTGAGTACAATTCTTCTTGGATGGTTGGGCCTACCATCAAAAGTTCATTCAATGAAATTTGAGAAGAAGCACGACTCGAAGCGTCAAAAACAACACGTAATTTGGTTGTTGTGCTTTCGGGTCTTAAAACGCATTGATGCGGAATGAAATAGTGTGGCTCACTCGGGAWCTTATTGTTTGTTGGGCTCATGTGACCCAGCGCTCTGTATTCATTCATAAAGTCCAGATACATTTTACGAAGTTCTGGATCTTTCAACGTTCTTCTCTCCAGGGCCTGAAAACCGAACTGCGGTTTCATAGGAGTGACCGAGTAACTTACAGTCAGCTTTAAATGGCATTCTGACCTAAAGCCGTCCTGAAAGCAATACTTGATTTGTTTTCACGAAAAAATGTTCACACTTTTTTTGATCTTGTGTGAATTTGATGCCATTTGTTTCTGAAGGTAATTCCTCTAAAGCCCAAAACTTTTGGACCACAGAATTAATTGACGTAAAGTCATCTTCAGATTGGCATAATGTGCTAGTTGCAGAAGGAGGAGGACTTAGATTGCTGGCATATTTGCCAGACACGATCCACCCTAAAAGGGTTTTCCGTAGCGTTGGTTGGTTAGGATCACTTTTAATTTGGCCAACCGCTAACAAATCGAAAAAGGTTTCTGCACCCAATAAGATATCAATCTTTTTTGATTTATGGAATTCTAGATTCGCCACTTTAATACTGTGCGGAATTTTTCAGCCATTAACATTTATGTTATGGTCTGGATGATTAGCCGAAATGCAACGCATTATCCAGAATTCCGCCGAAAAATTCGTAAATATTTACCCGCGACTTAACAAACGCGTTTTTTTTTTGTCCCCACTTTCGTGTTGGAATTTCCAATTCCTATTATGTTTAACGTTTTGTGTTGGCGACGAATCCGCAACTTTTGTGCCAAGTCCTCCGTCATAAAGTTGGCTTGAGAGCTTGAGTCCAGTAACGCTCTCGCAGGCAGGTATTCACTATAACTGGTCCTGACATGAATATCAGCTGTCGCCAACATTACCCGATCCGGCATACTCGCTATATGCATRGAATGTGTGGTTGATGGTTGCGGATGAGATGCAGTGGGGAAGGAAACCGAATACTGCTGCAACAAAACTCGAACCTCTGTTGTACCGCAAGCGCCTTGAAAGTGGGGCAGGCAGTTAAAGGATATTCCTTTTACTCGCATTTTTGACAAGTTGGCTGCTTTGCATCTGCAGCAACTAAAGCTGATTTTGTCCTGTCCCTGTGTGGCTGCTTCATGTGGCTCATGCTGGTTGTGGCTCCGGATTTCGTCCCCGAACGAGATGCTCCTTCCACTGCTATCTGTTGAAACCTTCTATATAAAGTTGCTTCGCAATCCTTTCATAATGGTAAGTGACCGTAGTCAAGTTGCTCTTCCCACTTAGATCGGGTCGCAGAGTCAACCTTTGTCATAACGATATGTATTACAATGGCGTTTGTTATTTGCTTCTCATCGCCCAGAGATAGCAAAGAGTCATAAACGGCAGACACTTCACCAATCATTGATCGCAATGAAGGCGCGGATGGYTTTGGGATGGTTGGCAGCTCAAAAAGTTTAGATATTGTATTGAAAAATATCAAGAATTTGTTATCATAGACCTTTTTGAGGCTTGCCAACGCTTTCTGAAACGGTTTAACTGTTGCCAGGGCCTCTCCAGAGAGACAATTTACCAAATGGTTAAATTTTACTATATCTGGGATATATGGATCATTTTGAACCAAGCTCTCAAACAAACTCATAAAGTTTTTAAATTCTGAATATTCTCCCTTGAATTTCGGCAAATTCATTTTAGGGAGCTTTGAGCTGTGAGAAACTACGAAAAACGTCTCGGCAATTGACGTTCTATTTTTGGCTAAAATATTTTTAATTATTGATTTCGTTTCAACAATTATGTCCTCAAACTCCCCTCGGGCCATGTCGTCTTCATCAATCTCTTCAATTTTAGATTGGCATTTCATTAGCTTTTCACTATGTGAATTTAATATGTCGAGCAGACATTCCAGTTCAATTGGATCTAACGACATGTTTTTTTCTAAAACGCCCGTCTTTATCGACGCCCGATTAGTCGATTAACTCCTTACTTGGAAATAGGTTGGCGATAGTTGGCTTTGGCTTGCTCATTTTTGCTTGTTTAAATTAAATTTCCGAAAGAAAGACTATAACGGTTGGCAACACTGGAGTGATGGCAGAAGCAACGACGTGATGGCAGCAGCGATACTAACAGCGACGGGATGGGAGCAACGACGTGATGATATTAACGGATAGCGTTGGAAACGGTTTGTCTTTTTATCGGTACTTTGATTTTTACTGGTTTTTAGGCTTTACGGCACTTTAAACAGTTTAAAAAACTGTAACTTTTGTAATAAATTTTTTGGTTATTGCAAACACTTTTGAGCTTTTATTTGCGCCCATCACTGGCGGTACCTAAATAATTTACCTTGCACTGTACTTATCGAGTACCCCCTTTTATTTTATTTCGTTATTTGGTGAGTTTGTCACTTTACACTATATGTACATACGTATACACGCACACTCCACAATATTTCTCTTTTCTTCTTTTTGATTTTTCAGGCTGAGGTAGGTATACGAGTAAGTGTTTCAGCACAGTATATTTGTATATATGTACATATTAATATATTTTCACAGATTTCTACTGCACTTATATATTTTATATGTAAATGTATATTTTGTTATTTTTGTTACAGGTTTCACTGTACGCTGATATATTTGTAGATATATATTTGTGTGTTGGAGGTTTTCACTGCACGCACTTCACATATACATATGTATATGTATATAAGTTTGGATCTTTAATCCTTCTTTGTTTTTTTAAATAACTTTGTTTCTTAGCACTATCACTTTATCGTAAAACCGAAAATCCGAAAACCGAAAACGATAATTTGGCAATTGGTTGCGAAAAAGATATTTTTGTACTGTATATAGTATATGTTAGTTATTTTAATTTTTTAATCACGCTCAAGTCCCTGCTCGGGCGCCATGAAAATTCTCAAGAGTTTTTGAGAGATAAAATAGTCGGGACACGTGACTTCACTAAAATTAAAATTCGACCAATTGCCTGCCCTTCGATATTGGAACAGTTATAATGGAAGTATACAGGTATGTACAAAAAGAAGTGAGTAATTCATTTTGTTAACTTCTAGTAATAGATTAACATTATTAGGGTAAGTAATGCATTTCAGAAAAATAATTAATTTTAATTTCATTTAATGTTTGCTTTCTTTGAGACGATGTTTGCAATAAAGTATTATCGAGTTTTTATTTCATGTTTTCTATATCTAAAAAAAAATTTCAATAGTACTATTACTGCTTTATTTTTGTCAATGTTGGCAGTAATTTAAAACTATCGATATCGTTTCGAAAGAGTGTTATCGGTAATTATTTAGCTCTATTGACTATACCTGTATAAACGTATTATTGTCAACATTTTTGCAATTTCCTCGTCGATAACCTCCGTATAATATCTTTTCGATAATATCAATGAGGTCGCATCATCGATGAATTTGTGTTAACATTTTTTATAATTAATCTTATTTGTAAATTTCATAATGACTGTTTAKGATTGCACTAAACACTCAAATTAAACCTGTATTGCACTATAATAAAACCACGATTCAACTTCGGTATAAATTAATTTTACTATACTTGGTATTCTCCCAGTACCATCCAATTCATTTGAAGGACAACTCCACTAATCCTATGCTTAACTCAAGCCTATATAGAAAAATAAAATGAAAGCGAATTTGCGAAAATATTAATGTTGTTATTGCATACGGGACGATGGTCTGACCAAAGAACAGTAGAATCGTATGATGTGMCAAGCTRAAATGCATCACCTGATAATCGTGCTTCTAATTGTTTTTGTATACTGCACAATGGGCTGACCCAAACAACGGTAGAAATGCCAAAACGAAAATGAGTCACCTGATCATGGTGATGCCAGATAGGGCAGCGTGTACCTGTATAATGGTGATGCCAAATTGTACAGTATAAATCATATAAATTAAGTGAACTTATTATTAATCATTAACATTCCTCCCCGGCTGAACCTTCAGAGTTCAGGAATTCTCGATTTTTATCAATAAGACGGCAAGACAGACTTTTGCACTGGACGTTGACAGTGGTGTTTAACAARAAGTCCTTCAGGGGTACGTTTCTCACTGTTATATTCAACAGTAACTACTCTTACCAATCCGCCGCTGCCAGGGTGAACTTCAGTGATGCGACTATTGCGCCAATGCGTGGGGGGTAGATTCTCGTTTTGAATTAGTACTACATCTCCTGGCTGGAGATTCTCACGTCGACCTTCCCACTTGTGACGCRAATRTATGCTGGATAAATATTCACGGTTCCACCGCTTCCAAAAATGCTCGAACATTTTCTGTAATTGTTGAGAATATAAAAGGCGATTTTGTGGAATATCAAAAATAGGTGGTTCTGGTCTCGAATTGAGCGGTCGACCAATGAGGAAGTCGCCAGGTGGGAGTGCGTAACTACCATTGGGATCACCGTGAAGAGAAACGAGTGGCCTGGAATTCAAACAAGCCTCAATCCTAACAAGTAGTGTACTCAGTTGATTGAAGCGTAATGTTTGGCGACCAATTGTGCGACAGAGTTGTTTTTTTGCTGAACGCACAGCTGCCTCCCAAAGACCTCCATGATGGGGTGCGGCTGGAGTGATGAGTTTCCATTGCGTGCCAGAGGATGCTGAGTTGCATATATAATTGAAGGTCTTGATACAAACTTTAAAGGTCTTGATATAAAACTCGAACTCGGTTTTGGAAGTGATGCCATCTATTGCTGCTGCGTTGCTCGGGAGTGTCGACGGCATATGACGCACTCATGAAGATATGACTTTACAGCCCGACATGCATGCATAATCCAAAATCGTATGTGTAAGTACTTCAGCATTTCCTGTATCCCAAAATGGGGACAGCACCTGTGAGCATCACTTAAGAGAAGTTTTGCCAATGAACAGGCATTACCAAGAATGATTGGATGTTTTTGCTCATACGGTAATTCCGAATTGGTTAACCGACCACCTACACGCAGTATGCCTTCTTCGTCCARAATCGGGTTCAGTGGAAGCAGTTTACTTGACAAATCGATGCTGGAACAGGATTTAAGTGCTCTAATTTCGAAATKATACATATTACCTTGGCTTTGACGAATATGCGTGATTAGTGCCCATTCTTTCTCTTCAGCAGTAATCAATTCCTGTGATCTCTAACTTTTGAACGTCGGCATGATACGACGAATTCGAACAGTTGTATTTAGTAAGGCACTCAAACGGCTAAACCTTGCTACTARRGGTATTCGTTTTGCTCGAAAGGATGTCATCAGTAAACCGTCCCCGTTGTTAACGCCAAGATGCACAGTTAACGGACGGCTTTCTCCATTAAAAATTTCATTTTCATTAGCTGTGAGACTTGGTAAAGCTGATGATGATTCATTAACTGTATGAATAATGGGAGGTCCCTTCCACCAAAGTTCGTACCCCATGATTGCTATCAGGATAATTCCGCGGGTGGCGCAGTCAGTGGGATTGTTTTCTGAATGAATTTGATTGTATAACAGCTATCCTATTTGCCACCTACGGTTTTCAATGAAGAGGGTTGCCGCCGGATCCAGTGGAGAACAATTGTTGAGTCACTCCATAAAGTGTAAGCCGTATCTTCCAATTGCAATGCGCGACGTATGTTCTTCATAGTTGTTATCAATAGCAGAGCTGTCGAAAGCTCAAGGCGGGGGATAGTCATTTCCTTCAACGGAGCGACTCTTGTTTTTGTGACAATCATAGATGTATGGAATCCTCCGTTAGCACTGGTGTTTCGTAGGTAAATAGCTSCGGCGTAAGCTTTGSTACTTGCATCGCAGTACCCATGTAGGGTTGATACAGAATGTTCTATGATAACTAGCCATCGTGGTRTTTTAATCCTTTCGAGAGCGTGTAGACTGTTCCGGTATGTCATCCAAGTCTCTCGAAGATTATCTTCGAGATCTTGCAATATCACTCAAAACAACCRTTTWGTAGGAATTGTGTCAAAGTTAYATACCTTTGCCTTGAAAAATAACGTATCAGTAATAGGATTCCAGTGAAGGCSTAATAYCGTTGTGCAGGAATCGCTAAAATTTATCTCCGATGCTGACGCCTTAGAACCTCTGATTCCYTCCAGGGTCTGGRGGCAGTTGGAGTTCCATTTATCTAACTCAAATTTACCTTGTTGAAGAATGGCATCAACGTCCCGTACACGATTGATGGCCAGTTCTRTCGTGTGGACACTTTCCAAATAATCATCGACATAAAAGCTATGAAGGATGCTGTCTCGTACTACGTCAGCGATCACTTTCCAGTTATCGTATGCACACTGTCTCAATGACTTAATAGCATTAAAAGGACTGCTTGTCATACAGTACGTCACTGTTGTAAGTTGATAGGTACGCAAGGACACTCCCTYCAAAGGATCTCTTGCCATTTCCGATGCCTGGAATCCACCATTACCTGTCGGAACGTCTTTTTGATATCGGCTGTGAGAGCTACCGAATACCGCCGAAATCGATGAAGTATGTCAACCAGGTTGTCTTGTAGCTGTGGTCCACTTATTTGCGTATCGTTAAGAGATACACGGTTCGTTGTTTTAGACGATGCGTTAAACACTACTCTGAACTTAGTCAAAACAGCATGTTGAGGAATGTAATAACAGCTTCCCATGTCAGCCGGAGGAGCATCGATTGCCTCCACATGTCCCAAATTAATAATTCCCTCATGAATTCCAGGTATTTCTCCCTAAGTATATTGTCGTTTGCCATTGTTCGCTCTAATTTCAAAAATTGCCGAAGTGCCGCCGAATGTGAATTTCCAAGTGGAGGGGCATCAAATCGAAATGGTGTTTGTACTATATATGACCTTTCGGATGTCGCGTAACCGTACTTGCGAAAATCTCTTCACATTCGTTCACCTCCGGCTTGATGTTATCAGGAGGCTCCTCCACTTCCCAAAATTTCTTAGAAGTTTATCGGTGGTAGAATCATCGGAAACGTCAATGACTGATGGGAAAAGGGTTGACTTCGACTCGTTCGATGTGACCGGACCTAGCACTACCCATCCCAGACGGGTGTGTAATGCACATGGTTCCTTATGAGAACCGACGACAACATCGTTTAATACGAGAGCAGGCCAAATATCAGCGCCAAGCAGCATTTTTACAGGACCAAGTATACCGAATGCTGGATCCGCTAAAAAAAGATCCCTTAAATGATGACTGGTCCTGATGTTGATATTAGAAGAAGGAGTCACAGACGCGATTGAATGAATGATGTACGCATCAAGGTGGATCCGGAACTTCTCGTCCACATGACACTGTATATTAACTCTGACAAAACCTTTGGCACTGTTGAAAGGCTTTGATCAATACCCTCGGCTTCAAACTCGCAGGAACTTCTAGGAAGATTCAAAACAGTTACTAAAGATTCACAAACGAAGCTCACCTGGGAACCAATATCGCAAAGTGCTCGACATTCCTTTAAGTAAACCTTACAGTCAGCAAGAAGCACGTTTGCCATTGCTGAGAGAATTGTCCGATCACTCTATAAGAGAAATGACTGGACGTCGCTGCTTGGTCATTGTTGTCGAGGAAGTACCTTTGGGGCCACCATTGGTATTGTAGCCGACGCTCCAGGAGTAAATCTGGCGAAAGTACCTTCAACACTCCTCTGCTGGGGCCTTCTACATAGAAGAATATTGTGTTTCTGTTGGCAGTTGAGACATAAACCAGATAGAAAGTCGCGATGACGATGGCCGGCCTTGAGGCAGTTGAAACATAATGATGCCTGCTTCACTAAGTCCTAGCGTCCGTCAAGTTGAAGGTTACGAGACTTTTGACATTTTGTAATGCGATGAAACTCATTACAAGATGGGCAATTCGCTACCTTGTCAGATGTTATCAACGGATTCAGGATTTTCCCGGAGTTCGTAGTCAGATGCACCTTCACGACACGACTAGATGTGTGTCCGCTTGAAAAATGTGTAGCAATTGGCGACGATGTCGGCAGGTTCACTGCACGCCGTTCCACGAACATTATCACTTCTTCAATTTTTGGAATTTCATTGGATTTTAGGCTCATTCCCCACTCGGTTCGAGTAACAATCGGTAGTGTCGGTAGTAGCAGTGGTACGGCTATAGCATCCCACTGTTTTACTGGCACATTCATCATTTCAAGCTCTCTGAAGGAATTACGTACCCTATCCACAAAAATAAGTAGCGTAGCTCGAGATTCTGATGGGTGGGTTGTTAAATCAAGAAGGTGCTGAACATGATGTTCCGAAAGAGTGCGGGGATTGTCATAACGTTGTTTCAGTTCAGACCAGACTTCTTCATACCCACCTGTGTACAAACCACCGACTAATGGAACATTTGCCACCTTCACATATTGTCTCAATTTTCCCAGTTAATAGGTGGGCTGCAAGTCACTTCTGTTGTGAACCAGCGTCTCAAACATATCCTTAAACGCTAACCAATTGGACGGCTGTCCGTCAAAGTTTGGAATGGAGACGATATCCAAATGCATGTCTGCATTCCTGGTTGGGAAGTTCGCTAAACGCTGACATTTTACTTTTTAATTTGATGGAAATATTGTTGAAAATCTCCTCTGTTGAAGCGAGCAAATCATCATGGTCTGCCATCTCGCCACCATGTGCACTGGACACAAGAGCAAAATGGTTGTCCATAAAACGAGAGAAATGTTGTCTAGCACTACCCAAGAGCTGTTCACTTTCAACACAGTCTGGACGGTAGTTCTCTGCTTGAACTTGCGTCCAGATGCGCACAATGGATGTGCGCGCTGATGTACGCAAGTTTAATGCTGACATATTATAAGCAGTTTAAAAAATATACACAGTCCTCACTGGAGGCACCAAAACTGTTTAGGATTGCACTAACTACTCAAATTAAACCCATATTGTACTATAATAAAACCACGATTCAACTTCGGTATAAATTTATTTTACTATATTTGGTATTCTCCAAGTACCATCCAATTCATTTGAAGGACAACTCCACTAATCCTATGCTTAACTCAAGCTTATATAGGAAAATAAAATGTAAGCGAATTGGCGAAAATATTAATGTTGTTATTGCATACGGGACGGGTCTGACCAAAGAATAGTCGAATCGCATGTTGCGCCAAGCTAAAACGCACCACCTGATAATCGTGCTTCTAATTGTTTTTGTATACTGCACAATGGGCTGACCCAAACAACGGTAGAAATGCCAAAGCGAAAATGAGTCACCTGATCATGGTGATGCCAAATCGCACAGTATAAATCACATAAATTAAGTGAACTTATTATTAATCATTAATAATGCCATTGTATTTTTTATATATATAATATGTGTTTCTTTCATTAAAAATTTATCGATATATATTTAACATTTTTCATGTCAATTCTCAAATTATTTATTTCTCTACTCCCTTCACTTTTAAAATGCAAATGTACATACATATTATGTATTGAGTATATATGAATCCTAATATCCTAATATTTTCCCCAGACAATTAATTCTGTTTATCAGTATTTGTGTCGAAAACGTATTTATTTGCTCAAACGAATTCCCTTCAGAAAATATAAAATACTTTTTAGTTGAAGTTAGCTCTTGAATTTGGCTTTATTCTATTTACTAAAATTCAATTCAACTCAACATAGAACTAATTTGTGAGAATTGAAAACATTTTCAGGAATTCACACACACAACTATATTTTACTTTCACTGATGGTAAATACTAAAAATGTAAAACTGTTTTACGRGCAGTTCTGAGTAGTAAAATTTGATT